GGTAACATGATCACATGGGTGACGTTTCTTTGGTTACATGATCACATGATTGACGTATCAAAGGTAACATGATCACATGGTTGATGTACCTAATGTAACATACTCACATGGTTGACGTACCTAAGGTAACAATATCACATGGTTGTCGTTCCTCAGGTAACATGATAACATGGTTGACGTACCTAAGGTAACATGATAACATGTTTGGCGTACCTAAGGTAACATGATGCCATGGTTGACGTACCTAAGGTAACATGATAACATGTTTGGCACACCTAAGGTAACATGATCACATGGTTGCCATACCTAAAGAAACATGATAATATAATTGACGTACCTAGGGTAACATGATGCCATGGTTGACGTACCTAAGGTAACATGATCACATGGTTGACGTACCTAAGGTAACACGATCACATGGTTGACGTATCAAAGGATACATGATGACATGGTTGACGTATCAAAGGATACACGATCACATGGTTGACATTTCAAAGGTAACATGATAACATGGTTGCCTTTCCTAAAGTAACATGATCACATGGTTGACGTATCAAAGGTAACATGATGACATGGTTGACGTACCTAAGGTAACATGATCACATGGTTGCCGTACCTAAGGTAACATGATGAAACGATTGACGTACCTAGGGTAACATGATCATATGGTTGACGTTTCTTTGGTTACATGATCACATGATTGACGTATCAAAGGTAACATGATCACATGGGTGACGTTTCTTTGGTTACATGATCACATGATTGACGTATCAAAGGTAACATGATCACATGGTTGATGTACCTAATGTAACATACTCACATGGTTGACGTACCTAAGGTAACAATATCACATGGTTGTCGTTCCTCAGGTAACATGATAACATGGTTGACGTACCTAAGGTAACATGATAACATGTTTGGCGTACCTAAGGTAACATGATCACATGGTTGACGTACCTAAGGTAACATGATCACATGGTTGACGTACCTAAGGTAACATGATCACATGGTTGACGTACCTAAGGTAACATAATAACATGGTTGCCTTTCCTAAGGTAACATGATGACATGGTTGACGTACCTAAGGCAACAAGATCACATGGTTGTCGTACCTAAGGTAACATCATGACATGGTTGACGTACCTAAGGTAACAAGATCACATGGTTGACGTATCAAAGGATACATGATGACATGGTTGACGTACCTAAGGTAACATGACCACAAAGTTGACGTACCTAAGGTAACATGATGACATGGGTGACATACCTAAGGTAACATGATGCCATGGTTGACGTACCTAAGGTAACATGATCATAAGGTCGCCGTACATAAGGTAACATGATCACATGGTTGACGTACCTAAGGTAACATGATCACATGGTTGACATTTCAAAGGTAACATGATGACATGGTTGACGTACCTAAGGCAACATGATCACATGGTTGACGTACCTTAGGTAACATGATCACATGGTTGACGTATCAAAGGATACATGATCACATGGTTGACGTACCTAAGGTAACATGATAACATGGTTGACGTATCAAAATTAACATGATGACATGGTTGACGTACCTAAGGTAACATGATCACATGGTTGCCGTAACTAAGGTAACATGATAAAACGATTGACGTACCTAGGGTAACATGATAATATGGTTGACGTTTCTATGGTTACATGATCACATGATTGACGTATCAAAGGTAACATGATCACATGGGTGACGTACCTAAGGTAACATGATCACATGGTTGACGTTTCAAAGGTAACATGATGACATGGCTGCCGTACCTAAGGTAACAAGATCACATGGTTGAAGTACCTAAGGTAACATGATCACATGGTTGACGTATCAAAGGTACCATGATCACATGGTTGACGTACATAAGGTAACATGATAACATGGTTGACTTATCAAAGGTAACATGATCACATGGTTGACGTACCTAAGATAACATGATAACATGGTTGCCGTATCAAAGGTAACATGATCACATGGTTGACGTACCTAAGGTAACATTATAACATGGTTGCCTTTCCTAAGGTAACATGATGACATGGTTGACGTTCCTAAGGTAACAAGATCACAT